TGTGTCAATAGCCCTGGTCATCTCCCCATTCCACAGTTCAACCAGGGCATCAACAGAATCACCAGTCTTGTCAACTGGAAAATCCCTCAGAGCTTTCAGGAATCCATCAGGATTCATCCAGCTCCGGGGGCGGACCAATACAATCTGGTCCGCATCCTTACAGAGGGAAAGGCAGCTCTCGAGCTCAAACTTTATGAGGAAGTGATCTGACCATGACAAGGGCATCAAACTTAAATTCCTCACCCTCAGATATTATTGGATTTATCTGGAAACATAAATTGTTTCCTAGGAAATTATGGGAGATTTATGCTCAGTTTTTCTCCTAATTTTGATTCCCAGTTATTTATTTACAGTTATTTGCTATGAGAAGAGAGAAAACAGCCAACTGTTCTGGCCTCCTTACCCTGTCACTAAATGCACTAAATAGAGGGCAGAAGCCACTCTGTTCACCCAGGCTAAAAAATAGTGCATCTATAATCTAATGTGCCCTACATGACCAGTCCTACATTAGCTCTGATTTTGGGGAAAACTGAAGAACAGTTCTTCAACCAGCAAACAAAGATACAATCAATTCAATTTAAAATATCTTCTATTGTTTTAAGTTATTTTAAATGATATCCTAAAATAAACCGATGTTAAAATGTGGCCAAAACCTTGGCAATGAAAAGGAAATAAAATGGGATCTCTTTTGGAAGGACAGGTCAGAACATGTGTTAAGTCAAGACCTCACTCCCAGTGTATCTTGCATGGTGATGTTAACTGTGTTAACCTTATGGTCCCAAGACATGATCCTTGGAGCAAACTTCTGGAGATGTCAGTGTACTTTATATTTCATTACGTAGAGATGCCTTTTCTTCTTGCTTTGATGTATAAGCAATACAGATGCCCATTGTACATTTCTATGAAAGCAACAATCCCTGGTCTTGATGTTGGAGACAATGCTGTAGAACTTTCTTTTCTACTTCTTGCAGGAAAGGAGGACTCTAATGCGGGGCGGGGGAGATTGGGTTGTTCCGAATAAGAGTGACTCATCATGATACTATCTCAAAGTTAATCTCTTCAAACTTCTATCCCACCCTGTCACCAAAATGCAAAGTTGGATTTTCTTTGATATAATTATCTGGACTGACAAGGGTTCTCCACTTAATTGAATAAAGGCAAGAAGTAAGATTGAGTTAGTGCAGAGACACAATCTGTTTGACTGGATCTGACACCTGCTTTAGAACCAGAAAGGCAGATGGGGTGTGGTGAGACAAGAATTTTCTTTGGCATTCCTGCTTCTCTTTTGTCATTGCTGGCTCCCCATAAATTGGATTAATTCACTTTGAAGTTTGCATTCTTTGGCATTGCTGCAATCCGACATATATAATTTGAATGTCACCATCTGTGATCAAAGATAAACTATAAAGCACTAGAAGACTGGCAGCGCTACATCATGACTCCAAGAAGCAAGTGCTGAGTTGCTGTTACAGTTACAATAACTGTTTGTGTCAGGCTTCTTAATGTTTTTACTTGCTGACTCCATTACTGGAGGTGAAACTGAGCATTGTGAAAATATTTACTGTTATTAGGATGTGATTTCAAGATGTGACAGACTAAGGTGGCAAGACCGTGAACATTTATTTGCTAAACAGTCACACTGAACACCAAGGGAGTTACATCTGAGCTGCAGATCCTTTGTGCTCAAGAGCAGAATCTAGTGGTAAAGATGGACCCCTTTACTGGCAGTAAATCTAATTTTGTTCCAAGTCTGTATAGCTTTGTAAGACAGGAGAAATAGTTGAAAGAATGCTCTTCAAGTAGGCAAAATATCCCACCTATATTCCACCTATCCTACCTTCTTTTTTGAAGAATTATTTTATAGAGGTTATAAAATGTACAGACTTTGATTTGAATAGCTCACAAACACATTGTCCAAAACAAGCAAACAAACAAAAAGGTAAATGAAACTGACAGACAAACTGTCATGCAGTTTCTTCATAAAGGCCACGTTTAGATGTCCTCTCTTGAAAATGAGTGGTAAATTTAGTTCAAGGCATTCCAGGAAGACCCTTTTGCTGTTATTGCAGAATAGTTCTCTTCTAAGCAAAGTAGTCTTTGCTCTAGTAATCACTCCCATAGAAATTGAAGGAACCTAAGATGATAGTGCCTTTGAACAGCATTCATAGAATTTACTTGCAACAAACTTTTGATGGATTCTATTATCTCTTGTATAAAAATATACACCAGCACATATCTTTATGTCTTAAACTATTATATCCCCTATTCAATTTGGCTTCCATGGGCTAACTGAATGTAGAGGCCATTTTGTGATTGACATTTCCCAAAGCAGCTGTTCAAAATATCATCATTATTTTTTAAGTAACAAAACTGAGCATGGAGAAAACACAAAACATTAATGACAGAGATGAAATACCTGGGAAAATTAAAGGCACAGTTGTTGTCTGACTTTGAAAAGACAGCAGGTGTCATGCCAGATCACTCTAACTGAGGACGGTGTTTCACAAGCAAAGGTCCACCACAGGGAAGACCCAGTGCTAGAAACTTCTAGAAAATGAACTCAGTGTAAAAGTTCTGAGGCAGATCTCAAAATTCAGACAGGTTTGTGTGGGATGAAAGATTTTTAAGGTATCATTTAGAATGTTATGCTGTATCACATTTGGTTGGTCCCAAAAAAGTAATCTGACTTTTTGAAGTGTCCACAGTTTCTGAATCATCTTCACACACAGGCAGACATGAATTGAAGTCAGTTTGTATTAATTCAAGTTTGACTAAATTGGATTGAATTCAAGCAGAACAGTTTAATTGATAATTCATGATTATACTTTTAAGAACTCCAGTGTAAAAATTCTCACAGATTATGGTTGAGATGGAAAACTTCGAACTATGAACCTTTTGCGTGTGCACACATGCACGTGTGCAAACAAACACACACACTATCAGTTCTGTTTCATAAATGGATTCATCCAGGAGCCATTATCACTTCTGTAAATTCCATTTATGATTCTTTAAGTCTTCACTGTTAATTCCAAACCTGTTGAAATAAGAACAACACTAAAACTTGGTGATCAAAAGGGGTTGTTGAACTGCATGTAAAATGTGCCACCTCTTTAGGTGTTCTGTCAAAGCCGTAACAAATTCTGACTGAGCTGTAACAGGGGAATTTATCAAAGTGTCAGCTGAGGCAAGAGGGTTTCCACTTGCCCAAATTCTATATAAATGTTAAACAGGAAGGACACACTTAGCATGTTAAAGCAAGTGGCCAAATTCTGGAGGAATTGGCTTACAAAAGTTAGTGTGGGTACTTAGTCTTTGCCCAAGAAGACATAAATTCCAATTCTTGCTCATGTATAAATTGACTTGAGTCAATCGTTTTCTTCCATCACATAACATACTTGGCAGGATTGTTGTAGACAATTTTTGAGTAGACAATTTTTGCCATTGTCTACTCTTTATACAAAAAGGAAGGAAGGAAGGAAGGACTGCTCTCTTGAGAAGACAAAGACACACACCCCAAATGAGACTCAGGAATAGCTAATTTGCTCAATTGTAGTATCCATAAGTTCTATTTTACAGAGAAAAGTCTAGTTGTATATGAAATGCTGTCTTCCATTTGGAAGTGTGCACTAATTGAATAGCTAAGTACAAATCTGACTTAAAGGGGATTCACCATAAGAAGGGAGAACAGGAAACCTGAAGTTGCCCATCAACAGCATCTGTTAACCTGCTCATGATTTTCTCCATTATAATAAGTCTATATCCTCTTTTCTCCTGTTTTTGAGTAATAGACTTTCCCCTCCTCCTTTTCTGGCCATGTTTAATTGGTCATTCCAACTTCAACCAAACAAAACAAACAAATAGAAATGGTTTAAACCGTAAGACTTTAGGAAAATAAAGAAGCAGGGAAGAAAGAAGGGAAGAGCTAGAAGGTAAAGAAACTGCAACTGGACTAGTAAGGGAAAAGTGATCCACAACATTGTTTAATTCTCAGGATGTCCCCATTTCTTAACCTTTTGTAACATACCAATCCAAGTTCTAGGTCACCTCTGTGATTGTTGAAGGCATGAATGGAGCTACCCATTCAGGAACACAACAGCAACATTCCTGTAATGGATAATATCAGATGTTGCTTTTGTTACATAGTTAAGTTGTTCAAGTTTCAGATCAACAGTAGAGTTAAAATCATCCTTGATTAGAAATGATCAAAAGTTTACAGAACCAAGCTGAAGATTGCTTCAGTAGATATCCTGTTGTTTTGATGTAGCTATATCCTTTGAGGCCTATATCCCTCCAGAATCTTCTGTAATCAAGGGAAATTTGTAACATATCACTAAGGTCATATTCCATCTGTGTATAAGGCCAGCTGTGCGCATCAGAGGGATTCACATGGGACCCTATGAAACCCTCTTCTAAGCTTCCCTGTCATCAACCAGCCCTTGACAATGACTTTCTTCTTTAGGGACCTGGCTTGGATAGCATTTGTATGACTAGCTGCAGGAGAGGAGATAAACGATTAGTCTTCTGCTAATCCCTAGCTACTTGAGGATGGCTCATACTACTCTTAGTTACTCTTTTGGGAATACATGTATTTGAATCTGCTTACTTGGCTCAGCACACATGAAGTCATTGTAGATCAATAAATTGATTTTTTTTCTGTATAATCCACTGGGTCAAGTCTGTGTCAATTGGTCCATTAGTGGAAAAAGTAGTGCCATTCTGCTACTGGTTGTGCAAGAGTTAGTGGAACAAGCAACACCTGGCCTAACGAAATTGTACTGAGCTGTGCAATGGCTATACAAATGGAAATGGCATCATGGATTTAAGGCACTTGCACAAGAATGCAAATGAGATTTCCACAAGCAGTAGAACATTTGTACTCATGGAAGGACCTCCTCAGATTCAAGCCATAATAACCAAAGTGAGAAGAAACTTTGCAGTGAAGAAAGTTAGGAAATGCTTTTCCTTATTACTCCCTTTGCTGCACCCCTACTGAAAATCGCATGCATTTCAGTGGCGTGAAGATTGATAGCTTCTTCCGCAGGAAAGTCTCCTGGGCAGACGAAACAGGGAACTTCTACCAGTTTGTAGCTCTGATGACAATGATGGAAGATCTCCTCTCACAGGTACTCATTTGAGTGAAGGCTAGTGCGAAAGCGAGTCTCTCTGGATAGACGAAGAACGGGTGAGTAAAATGGGTTACTCACATGCAGATCTTGAAATGTCAGAGGTACCAGTTGCAAAGCTTACAGTTGCTCCTGTATTTACTGAGATTTGGTCAATAAACAATGACAAGCAGGACCTGTAACAAAATGTCACGATGTGATCTGCTCCTCTAGCCAGCCATGACCTTCTGGTTGCTCCATAGACCTCTTCTCAGTTTTCTATTCTTTACCCCACCACACTTCACTGAGATGTTTGAGGGTTTGTGTGTCCTTTATAATTCCTCAACCCCATCATAAAGACCCTCTTTTTCTGCACGCCAGGCTTCCTACCTACCCTGCCAGTGCTTCTCTGCTTTGTCTACAGAACAGCATGTATCCATCTCTGAACTTCAGAAGTAGAGAGAATTACACAGTAACTGCAACTGTAGCAGGGGAATGAGGTGTTCAAATTTGACAAGGGGCTCAGACTTCTGGCCTAGTTGTATGATTTACCAAATCATTCCATGACAAAAATCAATGGAAGCTGGCTCTGAAAACAAGCAATATTCATGTTACAGTCTATAAAAGCAAGGAAATCCTTGGTGCATGTGTTGGAAGAGAATCCAACCTGTCATGAGTAGGCAAACTTGGGACCTGCAGATGTTTGGGTCTACAAGTCCCATTAGGCAGAAATAGCATGGTTAATAAAGGGGGATAGCTGGACTTTAGTCCAATGCCCTTTGAGGCATGCAGTTGCCCACCCTGTCACTTGGATCCATATCAAACAAAATCAAAGGTTAATGTGATATCCTTCATTATTAGATGAATAAATAAATAAGCTTCTGGGACTTTCTGAAGAAAACCAAAAAAGTGTGATTCAATTTGGAAAAATCTATCTAGACTGAGATTAAGAGCAAGATGCACTTTAGAATAAAGGGATTTTGCATGGAAAAATCTTACCATGTTCTTCTAGGAAAAGGAGATTTTGCACAACTTAGGTCAAGCATTAATTCAAATGGAGACTGCAGCCAAGAAATGAGACTGACAGAAGGGGGGGGCAGCAATGAAGGAACAAGAAAAGATGTTCAGTGCAAGGACGTAATTCACACTTCTGCCTTCCTGATCCCTGTGTATGCCTACAAAAGCTGGACTGTGAAGGAAGAAAATGCAAGTGTTCAAAAATGGTGCTGGAGGACAACTTTCAAATACCCTGGACTGACAGCAAGATAAACAAGTGGGTCCTTGCTCGAATCAAGCCAGAACTTGCCCTGGAAGCAAAAATGAAAAATAAACTGAGGCTGTCATAGTTTGGGCACATCATGAGAAAACACAGCTCTCTGGCAGAAGAAGAAGGGGAAGACCAACCTTGAGATGAATGATTCCACAGAGGAAGCTACAGTCTTGAGTTGACAAGAGCTGAGCAGGGCTGTCAAGGATGTAACTTTCTGGACGGCTCTCATTTCTATCTAGGTTACCCTAAGTCAGAAGTGACTTGATGGCATGTATCCAGAGCAATAACTATATATTCGTCTATGGTATTAAATTGGGATTAGGCCCATAGACAAGTTTGGTTGAGTTCTATTCAAATCAGGAGAAACTATCTAACATGGAATGGCTGCAGTCCTGGGGAGCATGTCAGGAAACGCAGTAAAGGCACACAGCCACAGAAGTCTAGCTTAACTCCCACACCCTCTCCTGCCACCACCACATAAAACATTACCTAATTTAATAATTATTTTTACAATAATAAAGTTACTGGGAGCCAGTGTGGCGTAGTGGTTAAGAGCATGGGACTGGGACTCGGACGATCTGGGTTCTAGTCCCCGCTCGGCCATGGAGTCAACTGGGTGACTTTGGGCCAGTCACAGCCTCTCAGCCCAGCCTACCTCACAGGGTTGCTGTTGTGGGGATAAGATGGAGGAGGAGAACGATGTAAGCTGCCTTGAGCCCTTTGTAGGAAAAAGGCAGGATATACATTGAAAAATAAAAAATAAATAAAAGTCATAATTTCTTTTTTTTAAAGGTAATAAGATAAATGGTCTCTCCCTGTCCTCTTCATCTCCCCTAAAATCTTATCAAATTTAAGAGAGAATTTAGGCTGGATATAATGTTCTGTGAGAACTGGTTTAGCAAGTAATGCATTTTTGCCTCTTCTTTTGCAATATTGCAATAATATTTGTTTCTCCCGCAGCCTACTTAGATTCCATTTGTCTTCATCCCATCTGCTCTAGGGGATATTATAACAGACTCATCTAACCCATAGTCACAACCTCCTTGGAACTAACCTTGCCTGCCCCCCCCGCCCCCCCATCCTCAAAACAAGCTGCCTGAGTAGAATCTGACATTAGACTTTGTGCCTCCTTCAAAATGTTACAAAATGCAGCTTGAACTAAACAGAGTAGCTCTCCATCTGATATTTGGAAACGTTCCTTTTTACCCACCAGCCCCTGGGAAACTTGCATGGGCTCTTGCAAGAAGTAGATTTGACAGGATTTTTCTCTGTATATCCTATTTGAGAAAGGGGCTGACATTGGCAGGGAAGATTTGCATTGACTCAATATTTTCTAGCAAGGGTAAGATCTGGGTGTCGAGAGCTTGAAAAAGAGATACATGGAAATGGAGAGAAGGCAGCTCAAGTTCATTCAGAAGTAAACTCCGTTGAATTACTCCTGGGCATGTTGGTGTAAGATGCTTACTCCATGGCATGTTGGTATAAAATGAAAGCTGGAAAGGGTGCAGAAAGAGGCTATTGAAATGATCAAGGAGCTGCAGCAAGTCCCCTGTGATGAAAGTTCCAAATGTTTTGCAGCTTTCTAACTCAGGAAAAAGACAAATAACCAGATTGAATATGACAGAGATGTATGCAATTACACATGGTGTGGAGGAAGTGTACAGGGAGAAACTTTTCTCACTGTCTTCATACTAGAAGCAGTGAAGGTGAGCAGCAGGAAATTCAGGAGAGACAAAAGGAAGTGCTTCTTCTCACAGTTAAGCAGTGCAATTTACCGTCACAAAATGTAAGTGATGCTTACAGCTTAGGACAGTTTTGAAAGGAGATTATGCAAGAGATGTTTGAGATCCTGCTGAATTTTCATATCAATTAAAAATGCCCTGTTTACAATCCTGAGTGTAAATGGGAGTGCATATTCCTTGAAAATGTTGGCACATTTTGAGAGAGATTTGGGTTTTAGTTCCTACTCAGCCATGAAGCTAACAGGGTGTCTTCAGACCAGCCACAGATTCTCAGCCCAACCTTACCTTCATGGGGTGAGGGTAAGATTGAGAGGATGAGGAGAATTATGTAAGCTGCCTTGAGTTCCTTGCAAAGAAAAAGGTGGGAAATAAATAAATATACCTGAACTTGAATTTGGAAATGTGCACTTTAAAATGTACAGGAGGAGGAGGAGGAGGAGGAGGAGGAGGAGGAGGAGGAGGAGGAAGGAAGGAAGGAAGGAAGGAAGGAAGGAAGGAAGGAAGGAAGGAAGGAAGGAAGGAAGGAAGGAAGGAAGACAGACAGACAGACAGTCAGTCAGTCAACAGGGAAACTTTGTATTCTTTAGTCAATGGATTAACATTTGAAAGATGTGCACTTTTCCTATTCAAATGTATATGAATGAATTGACAAAATTGGTGCTAATTAGAATGGGAGGAAGTTGAACTGAGCCTCCAAGTGAAATTCAGAGAATTTCAGCAAGCTTGAGCGTTGTTGATTCTCCACATTCATGGAGGATAAAGGTCCTGATGGCTGTTAGTTATTATAGCAATGTTTTACCTCCAGCATCAGAAGCAGAATGCTTATGTAGGAATGAGCATCAGTTCCTGGGGAAAACGAGTGAGGAACATCCTTTGTATTCATACCTTCTTTGTGGGCTTCCCACAGGCCTCTCATTGGCCAGTGTTGGAAACAAATTGCTGAAGAAGCTAGACTTTGGTTGGATATAAAGCTATCTTTATACTCTTACCACAAACCTTGTTATACCTGTAGGCCATCTGAAGGCAGTTATACTATCTGTTAGCCATTTGGGGTGGTGGGGGAAGCAAATTCCTTTGATTGTGGAACATGGTAGTTATAAAACAGGAAAAAGTTTACTCTGTGTCCTAGAAGTTGGAATATGTTTTTAGTAGCATCTTAAAAGTGATGTACTTGCACCAGTCCTAGCACTGAAAACGGTCCTATGGTTCAAGCTCCTTCAACTTTGTCTGTGGAAGACACAGTTGTAAAGCAGGGGTTTTTAAAGCTGAATTTGCAGCTGCACAAATGCCTCCTTGGAGACCCCATACTAAAAATGAAGAAAAGGAGAAGTATCAAATGAACACAAAACATGTTTTACTCTTAGCACACACCATATATCTGTGGTGGTGTCACATAAGCGTTAATAGTTCTTATCCACAGCACAGTAATAATTCATTTATGCAACTGCCTTATTCTGTAACAATGTTATCTATAAATTCTCCAATGCCTCATCAAAGATATGCTGCCAAAATTGTACTTCTCAGACAGGTTTCTCTTAGATTTGGAGTAACTTGCGATAAGTGTATCCTACAGTAGAGAAGACATTCCTCTGCTTGAAGGTTTCCTCTATTTGATGACCTGCCCAGCCTGACTTTAAAGTAAAAATGGAGGAAATATTAGCATATTTTACAGGAACAATCAGACAAAATTCTACTCATTACAATCATAGCAGAGGGAAAGGTTGTCAGACCATGAAATATGTTGGGTTTTATTTTAGTTTAGTTTAGTTTAGTTTCATTGGAGGTGGGATATAGATTGGGGAAGATATACTGAAAATGTGTCCAAGAGCTTTAAGGCACAAATCTATTTTTCTCAGGGTCACCAAACTGCTTAGATCTTTATTTATTTACTTAAAACATTTGTATGCTGCCCAGTTGTTCCACAGCACCTCTGGGTGCCTCATAACTATGAGATAAAAATATAAAAACATAATAAAAACATAATGCAAACCATGGCACATTAAAAACAA